TCATCCTCATCCTCATCCTCAGCCTCAGCCTCATCCTCCTCCTCCTCATCCTCCTCTTCATTATCGTCATCATCACCCCCATCTCCAAACTTATCATCATCACCACCACCATCATCATCATGATCAGCATATCCATCTTCACCTTCATCATCATCATCATCATCATCATCATCATCATCATCATCATCATCATCATCATCAACGTCGTCGTCATCATCACCATCATCATCACCATCATTATTCTTCTTCTTATTATTTTTATTATAGTCATCATTATCACCACCTCCCTCCTCCTCCTCCTCCTCATCATCATCATCATCATCATGCAGCACCACCATCATCATCGTCATCATCATCACTGGTATCGCCATCATCATCATCATCATCATCATCATCATCATCATCATCATCATCGTCACTGGCATCACTACCACCATCCTCATCATCATCAGCATTATCATCATCAGCATTATCATTACCATCATCTTTTCTGCATGCTGTTGGACGTCCTCAATTCCAAACTCTCTCCCACCCATCCTACTCTGCCTTCCCTTCTCCTTCTCCTCCTCCTCCTCCTCCTCCTCCTCGTCTTCATCCTCCTCCTGTTTCTCCTCCTCCTTCCCTGCACCTCCCCCACCCCTCCTACTCCAAAGAGGAGGGGGGGGGTGATAGAGGGATTAGGGAGGGGAGCGCCGAAGGAAGAGTGGTGTTGATGGCGGGCGGGTGGTGTGGTGTGGGGTGGGTGGCGGGGACAGACATCAGTATGGAATAAGGAAGAGGACGACCAGGAACAGGCATGGGGGAGGAGCGAGTAGGGGATGTCTGTGCCGCTATGCGTCGGCGCCGACTAAGACCGTATGTGGAGCTCCCTATGGGGCCGCGGAGCACGTGGTGTGTGTGTGTGTGTGTGCCTGTGTGTGTGCGTGTCTCTGTGTGTGGGGAAAAGCGAAGGCTGTGAGGAAAGCGAAGTCCCTGGTCCTGGAAAGACCAAGGGCGAGGCCACCCCCTCCCTGCTGAGCAGTCGGGCATCGAACAGGGCGGCACGAACCCGCAGGCCAGCCCCACCCCCGACTGGAGCGACGGTGAGGGCGGTGCGCGGCGCTCCCGGGGGCACGGTGCGCGGGGCAGAGGCGAGGTCGTTCGGTTCGAGAGCACCGCGGACGGGCCGGGCGCCCGGCGCGGGTGCCAGGCGACAGGGCCCGTTCGCGAGCGTGCTCGTGCGGGTGTTGGGCCCGTCGCCGTCGTCGACGTCGTCCGCTTCGATGCGCTCGTTCGTTGCCGTCGTCGCCGCCGTCTGTGGCCGCTCGTTGCCTCTCTGCTCGTGGCTCGCGCCTTTCCGGGGTGGCTCGCGCCTTTCCGGGCTGCTGGGATCCTAGAGTCCCCCCCTCTTTGCCGCTCGCCCTTCAATTACCTCGCCTCTCTCTCCCCGCCGCCTCCCCGTCCTCCTCTTGCCCACCTTCCCCCTGCCCTCCTCTTCTCCCTCTTTTTCTCCAGCTCTTCATCGTGCCCCTCTATCTTCTTCTTCTCCTCCTCCTCCTCCTGCTCCTCCTTCTACTCCTCTTCCTCCCCCTCTTTCTCTTCTCCCTCGAAAGGAGGACAGGATGGAGGAAGGCAGGACCTGCCCCTTCTCTTCCTCCCCCCCTCATCCTCACACACCATTCCCCTCTCCCGCCCTCCCCCCGTCCCCCGACCTCCTCTGCCTCCACTCCCCTCCCCCCCCCTCCCCCCTCCTTCTGCCTTGCTACGCCCCTAGCCCTCCCCCCTCTCCTCTCCCCCTCCTCCTCCTCCTCCTCCTCCTCCTCATCATCACCATCACCATCTCATCATCATCATCATCATCATCATCATCATCATCACATCATCATCATCACATCATCATCTCATCATCATCATCATCATCATCATCATCATCATCATCATCATCATCATCATCCTCATCCATCCTCATCATCATCACATCATCATCATCATCATCCCCTCCTCTTCTCCTCCTCCTCCTCCTTCTCCTCCTCCTCCTCCTCCTCCTCCTCCTCCCCCTCTTCCTCCTCCTCCTCCTCCTCCTCCTCATCCTCCTCCGCCTCCACCTCCTCCTTCCCCCCCCCTCTCCTTCCGCCTCTCCCTGTCGCTCCGCCCCTCCCCCCGCCCTCCAGCCCTGCCGCTGCCGCGGCGCGATTCTCCTTCCTCCCTCCGCGCGCGCAGGCACGTCGCGAGCATGGGCGGCGAGGGCCTCTACATCTGCAAGGCTGGCGCACGCTGCCGTGCTCTTTCCTTTCTCGCCGAGGGGGGGGGGCATTTCAGGGGAGGAACAGGTACTTACCTCTACCGCTACCCTCGCCCCGTTTTCCCTTTTCTGGGCCTCCTGGGAGGCCCTCGTTGCCACCGCTGGATTCGCCTCGAAATCCTGGTCAGAACGCACCCTGGGAGAGATCCGGGGAGTAGCGGTATCGGTACCTTTTAGTTTCCCCAGACACGGCGTCCTGGATTGCCTGGACGGAGGAGGCTGCGGAGAAGAAGGAGGAATTGGTCACCAAGACAACTGCGTCCTCGCCGCTTGGGTAGAATTCGATGCTTCGGCTCTGAAGTGCAAGAGGTTGTCTCGGACAAGTATTTCCTGCTCCAGACTGGGAGAACCGCGTGAATTGGACAGATCTTCTTTCACAGACATTGCGTACCAGCAGATGGTCACGAAGGACGCCTGTCGGACTCGGGCCACTTGTAGATGGCAGCAGTGATGGCCGCAGGAACATCTCTACCTTTCCTATTGTTGGCCTGGCGGATGTTCAGGGCGGCGTGGCTATCTCAAGAGGCCGTTCTGGCTCCGCCTGCTTGGCACGCACACCACATCCCGTGAGCATCCTTCTGATCGGCGTCCGCTGGGATTCATCTTCCTCGGTTGGCTTTGGCAGGACTTCTTGGATGGAGAGGTCTTCCTCGTCTATGCGTTCTTGTTCTGGGGTTCGCCAGCCGGCGTTCCTCTCGTTCTTCCGTATCTTCCGCGCGCAGTCGCAAATTCGGAGTTCGTGAGCGTGATTTCCCCACCCGGCCGACCGTGACATGACGTCCGGGGAGGCGCGGTCTTCTGTTTCCACGCCGCTTTCACCTCGATCCTCGTCGCCGTCTGCGCGCAGTCGGCGTTGCACAAAACAAGCTCGACGATCCTCCGACCGCAACGCAAGAAGCCCTCGGCGACGCCCCGTCTGCCAAGATATGTTTCTCAACCTCGGCGTCGAGGCGGGGGACGCGCTCGGCTCCCGGTCCTCCGTGCCAGCCAGAGTTTTTTGGAGCCCTTCGGCTCCGCCGTTCGTTTTTTTTGTTGGTTCGTTCGGGGCGCAAGGCCGTGCTGCGCAGTGACGCCTTGCCTCAAGGCGCAGACCCGCCACGAAGGGGACGCTAGTGATAGTGCCAACCTCCATGTTCGAGTTCGGTGTTGCAATTTCGCGCCCTGCTCGCAGTAGCCGTCTGGAAAGGTGGGACTGGGACCCCTCAACATGCAGGGCACACGCCCACCAGCCACAACCCGACCAGGGACGGGGGCACAAGCATCAGAGCATGATCCAAAGAGCAGTGCGTGCCCCAGTTCCTGATGCTCAATTACGGGGCCCTCTCCTTCCCAGCTTTGCGTATGAAGATGAATCCACCACCACCAAGTGGTTCATCCAGGACGACGTCGGCATGGCTTCAGTCCAGCGCCGCTTTGACGGAACTTGTGCGGCACATTCGATCACTTGAACCCCATGCCGAGGCCAACGTCTCAGTCCGCGCGCGCGTCTGTGCGAATGGTGCTCTTTTCTCTACGAGCGTGTGTTTCGTTGCCAGCAATCGCCAGCGGAGCCCTCTTGCCCCTACTCCTCGTCCCTATCGCCGCTCCCCCGTCCTTTTCTCTCATCCTTCGACTCCCGCCCTCCCCCCGTCCTCCTCCTCCTCCTCCTCCTCCTCCTCCTCTTCCTCCTCCTCCCCCTCCTTCCCCCCTCCCTCCTGCCTCCCGCCTCCAGCCTCCTGCCTCCCCCTCCCTCTCCCCCCCTCCCCCTCCACCCCTTCCCCCTCCAACCCCTCCTCGCTCCTCCTCCTCTGCCTCGCCCCCCCCCCCCCCTCTCGCTCCTGCGGTACACGCTGGTCGTTGAAAACAGGTCTCTTCGGATCCCCAGATCACAATCTACTTCACGCGCCTTCCTGATTCAGGAACCGATCTGTCTTTGCCTTTTCTCTGTGCTGCTGTTCTCCGGGAGGGCCTGACCCCCATCTGCTTAGGAGGAGAAGGAGGAGGAGGAGGAGGAGGAGGAGGAGGAGGAGGAGGAGGAGGAGGAGGAGGAGGAGGAGGAGGAGGAGGAGGAGGGGGAGGAGCTTCACCCACTCCTTCCGACCGACGTATATGGCGTCGGCCGCAGGAGGTCCTCGCCGCCGCGGGCGTGGAGGAGAGCAGCCACACAGCCGGGCGGGCACCCGCGCCTGGCGCCGGGCGACGGCCTCTCCCTTCGCACCCCTCGGTGGCAGCGTCGGGGGGCGATGGCAGGGGGCGATCGCAAACATGGATCAAGGTCGGAAACTGGCACACATTACCAGTGGATTTTTTTCAATCCCACGACTTTTTGAGGGTCGATGACGACGCTTGGGTGGGCTGGTGTATACTTTTTTCCCCGATGTTCTGGGAAGATAACGAAAAATGTCTACACCAGGGTCCCGTATACACCAGGATCTGCTCTCCAGTGCAAATTCCAATGCAGGGCCAGAAGAACCGTCGGTGTATAGAGTTCGATTCCCCACAAGGGGGTGTGGATTGGCGACGGGTGCAGTTTCCAGGGGCGACTGCAGATCTCCGCCGCCGAGCGAGGCGGCGCCGGCCGTATTTTGGGGAGGCGCCCCCCCCCCCCCGAGAGCCATGGATTCGGCGACCGCGCGCCCAATCCATGGATCGCTACCCCATGTTTGCGCGCCCCCGAATGTAGGGGGCGGGATTCAGGAGGGAAAGAAACACGCAGACACAACGAATCGGCGATTCCCCAGAAAATATTGGAAGATATGGGAAGTGCGGGGGAAGACAAAAACCCAAAACATGTGGGAAATTATGGGGAATCTCTCTCTCTATATATATATATATATACATACATACATATACATATACATATACGTATATATATATATATATATATGTATTTGTTTGCTCCAGGGCCCCTTCAGGGAGGGCTGCGTCGGCCAGGGCCGGGCTCGAGGGTCGAGAGGGTCTCGGGGCGTTTTCTCGTCGGCCTCTCGGCGGCGTTTTTCCCAGCCTCGGGAGGCTCTCCGGCAGCTGCGCCTCGGCGAGGGCGTGCTGGGGGTGCCCGGAGCGTCCCCCAGGAGGAGAAAAAACACACAGACACAATTAATCGCCCACCCCCAGGAAAATATGGGAAAATATGGGAAGTGGGGGGGAAGACAAAAACCCAGAAAATATAGGAAAATATGGGGGATATGTCTATTTGTGGCATGTATTTACTTGTGTGTCCCAGGGCCCCTTCAGTCCCGACCGGCTGCCGGTTCTGGCCCGAAAGCCAGGGAGGGCACGCTGAAGGGGGGGGGGGCATCGATCCCCAATTCGCCCACCCATATCGCGGATGATGGCCCGATGGCCCCGCCTTGCCCAGGAACGTGCGGTTCCGCGTTCGGGGGCGGTGTCGCCGATCCATCGGCAATGCTTTGCCGATTCCAGGCCGATGTTCCGACTCCTGAGCCGGTCACCCCTATCGTTGTCCCTCCGCCCCCTGCCTCTTCTCTGGTGGTGACGGCACGGGCGAACGGCCCATTGGGGTGGGTAGCGCGCGTCCTTTCCGATGAGCCTCGTCGGCTCCGTGGGCGTCCGGAGTCTTTGGATGAATGCAGTGCGCCCCCTCCGTTGCAGCCGCCCGCTCCTGCTTCTCCTCCTCCTCCTCCTCCTCCTCCTCCTCCTCCTCCTCTGCCTCCTCCCCCCTCCCCTCTTCTTCCCTCCCTTCCCCCTCCTTCCTCTCCTTGTCCCCCTCCCACTCCTCCTCCATTTCCTTCCCTTTCTTTCCCAGGGCTAGCGGCCCCGTCTGGCGTTTTGTGGTCGGGTCCCTTCAGCCTTCTCGGGCCCTCGGCTCGTGTGTCTTTTTGGGCCCCTCGGCGGTCCCCCCTCGTCGCTCTGTAGCCTGTCTTCGAAGCCTGTCTTCGAAGGTAGTTAAGGCTTGTGAAGGCTTGACGATCACCAACGTCCAAATAAGACCTTCCCTTGCCTTCCATCACCATCTTCATCCTCCTCTCCTCCTCCTTTTCCTCTCCTTGCCCCCTCCTCGTCCTCCTCCCTCCTTCATTGCTCCCTCCCTCCTCCCTGCTCCCCAACACCCTCCACCGCCTCCTTGCTCCATTTCATCCTCAGCATATTCTGCTCGTCATCATCATCATCATCATCATCATCATCATCATCATCATCATCATCATCATCATCATCATCACCATCATCATCATCATCATCGTCATCATCATCATCATCATCGTCATCATCATCATTATCATCATCATCGTCATCATCATCATCACCACCATCATCACCACCATCATCATCATCATTATTATTCTTACCGTTATCATCATACTCCTCCTCCTCGTCACCATCATCACCATTACCATCATCATCACCATCACTATCACCATCATCATCAGCATCATTATCATCATTGTCATCATCGTTGTCATCATAATCACGACCACCATCATCATCATCAGCATCAGTATGATCAACATCCTCATCATCAGCCTCATCCTCATCCTCATCCTCAGCCTCAGCCTCATCCTCCTCCTCCTCATCCTCCTCTTCATTATCGTCATCATCACCCCCATCTCCAAACTTATCATCATCACCACCACCATCATCATCATGATCAGCATATCCATCTTCACCTTCATCATCATCATCATCATCATCATCATCATCATCATCATCATCATCATCATCATCAACGTCGTCGTCATCATCACCATCATCATCACCATCATTATTCTTCTTCTTATTATTTTTATTATAGTCATCATTATCACCACCTCCCTCCTCCTCCTCCTCCTCATCATCATCATCATCATCATGCAGCACCACCATCATCATCGTCATCATCATCACTGGTATCGCCATCATCATCATCATCATCATCATCATCATCATCATCATCATCATCGTCACTGGCATCACTACCACCATCCTCATCATCATCAGCATTATCATCATCAGCATTATCATTACCATCATCTTTTCTGCATGCTGTTGGACGTCCTCAATTCCAAACTCTCTCCCACCCATCCTACTCTGCCTTCCCTTCTCCTTCTCCTCCTCCTCCTCCTCCTCCTCGTCTTCATCCTCCTCCTGTTTCTCCTCCTCCTTCCCTGCACCTCCCCCACCCCTCCTACTCCAAAGAGGAGGGGGGGGGTGATAGAGGGATTAGGGAGGGGAGCGCCGAAGGAAGAGTGGTGTTGATGGCGGGCGGGTGGTGTGGTGTGGGGTGGGTGGCGGGGACAGACATCAGTATGGAATAAGGAAGAGGACGACCAGGAACAGGCATGGGGGAGGAGCGAGTAGGGGATGTCTGTGCCGCTATGCGTCGGCGCCGACTAAGACCGTATGTGGAGCTCCCTATGGGGCCGCGGAGCACGTGGTGTGTGTGTGTGTGTGTGTGCCTGTGTGTGTGCGTGTCTCTGTGTGTGGGGAAAAGCGAAGGCTGTGAGGAAAGCGAAGTCCCTGGTCCTGGAAAGACCAAGGGCGAGGCCACCCCCTCCCTGCTGAGCAGTCGGGCATCGAACAGGGCGGCACGAACCCGCAGGCCAGCCCCACCCCCGACTGGAGCGACGGTGAGGGCGGCCGCGGGGGGTAGGGACAGTCGCGCTCGCCCAGCCCCCACGACAAAGATGGCGGGGACGTCGCGGGCACCGGCGATACCCTGGACAAATGGGTGGTCTCCCCGACGGCTGACGAGCACCGCCACGGGTTCGTCCCGGCCACCAGACCAAGCGTCTCACAGCAGCACATGCACATTGGCATCGCGCCCAGCATGCGGACGGGCGACTACCTGATGGCCAGGGACGACGTTGGCGCTTCCCCCGCGCGCTGGCACGCACAGGCTGACGAGACACCGGCTCTGGCCTGCCGTCCCGCCTGGCTTGGTGATGGGACCTGTGGAGGAGGTCCGCACAGGGCAGCGACTCCGCGCCAGGGTAGGGGGCGATTGGGTCACGGTCTGGGGCGGAGTGGACTCCACGCACTTTGCCTGGATCATCCACGGTGGCCGGCCGCCCGCCACCAGCGCAGCCGGAAACGCCACCCGGAGAGATCAGGAAGGGGACGCGGGCCAAACGCGTTCGGACACCTCAACCTGGCGGGCTGTTCGCTAGCGTGCTGCTGATTGGTCCAGCCAGGCCAGGGGCAGCGGGGACAGGCCCTCTGACAGCGCCTGGAGATACGCGTTCTACCGGCACAGCGCCCCTGCCGCGAGCGCCCATGGCTGGGGGAACGACCTCGCCTACCACCGACGCGACTGGAATGACCCGCACGACAGTCTCTACCGCGTGCTTCGGTGCGACATCCACTGGGGGCCACTGGAAACCTGGAGACCTGGCCGGAGGTCATCAACCGCCTCGAGGGCACCTGCGGGGCGATGTTCGTGGAATGCTGGAGTCGGGCCTGCGACGAATGAAATGGCAAGGGAAGGGGCAAGGGGCGCTACAACCCTGGCGGCTGCGAGGACTTCTGCAGGCAGTTGTTGGCTGACCTGAACGATTCCTACTACGACATACGGGCCTTCTGCCGGTACCAGCGCATAGAGGTCGACTGGGACGACGTGTGGCGCCAGCAGCAGGAACGGCGGATACATGCAGGTGGGGGAAGTGCCAGGGAAGCAAGCGCGCCAGCAGCGCCTCCTGGCCGGCGGGGGGCCAGTCCCGCCTGCGAGGAATCTAGCCCCCCCGAGTAGCCACCCCGCGGCCGGGTAGTGCGGCCTCAGATCGCGCATGGGTGCCTCCCTGCGGCTTGCTGGTGCCCTGCCACTCGACGAACGACTTAAGGTCGCAGTCTGACCGCAGCCTACGAGGTGATCTGCCTGGCCACGACCTCCCCGGGCACCTGCCCCCCGAGCTGAGCACTCGCAGGGCCTCCGGGCTTGCGCCTGGCAGTGCCCGCGGGCGCCAGCGGCGACGTGCAGGCGGGCTTGCCCCCGCAGGCAGGTCCCCTGCCCCTCCCAGATGGCGCGCCCTCTCTCTCCTGCCCCGCTGGAGCGCATGCCCGCCCGGGTGGATTCCCCCCGCCCTCCCTGGCTGGAGCGCCCGCCCCCCCAGGTGGGCGCTGCCGCCGAGGTTTGGTGTGACCTGGCTGGAGCGCCCACCCCCCCAGGTGGGTGCCGCCACAGAAGTATGTGCACCGAGCAGGTGCGGCGGTTCAAATGACATGCTGGTTGGGATCAGAGCCATGGGTGCTGTATCCCTGGCTGGTGCGGCGGTCCACTTGGCGGGCTGGAGGGGTCTAGGGGAGTGGTCCCAGTGCTGCTGCTGGTGGCGCCGCGCGGCCCCCAGCAGCCTCCCGTCAGCCGTGCGTCTCGCCGGTGCAGCCCCCGTGCGGCCTCTGGCCGCTGCTCGCTGGGAGGCCCTTGCCCGGCTCCGCCCTGGTCGCTTTCCTGCAGCCGGGCGCCCGCGCCTGGCCGGTCCTGCGGCCGGGCGGCCCTGGCTCTGCCGGCTGTGATGCGCGCTCTGGCCGGTTTGGCCGCTCTCTCCCCCCGCTTTCCGCCCCGCCGCCCGGGTGCTCCCGTTCGGGTGGGGGCGGACTCGCCATGCCTCGCAGCCGCCGCAGCTCAGGCAGCCTGTGGCCCCGCGGCAAGCGCTCAGCAGTTCAGTTGTTGCGGCCCTGCTGCTCAGCCTTCTCCTCTGCACGAGCGAAGTGGGCACGGAAAGAATGGGTACAATGCCCAACAGCAGTTCCTGTTCATTTTGGACAGGACTCGCTGTTGGTGTCGCCGCGGCCTCTGTCCATTTGAGACAGAAGGCCGCCTGCCCAACAGCGGCCGCTGTTGGTTTGGGACAACTTTTGTTGGTGGGCATTGTACCCATTCTTTCCGTGCCCATTTCGGGCGTCCAAATCTCCAGCTGATATCACGACAGCATTCTGCTGCGCGTCCTAGCGAACCCAGCTCCTCACGGTCGCTCCGGTGACCCTCGCATCTTGCTCGCGCCGTACCCTTACAGTCGAGGCTGTCTCCCACGGCTACACGTCGGAACACTCGGATGCTCCCGCTCTCGCTGCTAAAGGTCCGCTTGCCGTTCCTCCCGTACTTCCACCACTTCTCGCCTGCAGCCTCTGACTCAGCCCTTGGCTGTGTCGGCGATGCCGCTCCGCGACCGCCGCCAGGCTGCTCAGCGCGGGCTGACCGCACCGCCCACTCCTGTCGAAGACCTTCCCCCAGGGAGTGCCTTCCCTCTTTCTCCCGGCTCTGCGGCTGCCCTCTGGCCCTTTCTCCTCTTCTGTCGCCGGACACCTAGTTCGCCCGGCCCCGGCCATGTCGAGCGCGCGTGCGGGTCGCCTTTGCCGCGCTGCGACAAAAGAAGTGTGTGTGTGTGTGTGTGTCTCTGTGTGCGCCGAGTTCGTCACGCGGCAGGGAGGGGGGGGAGCGGGAGGAGGAGTGAGATGGGGCGGGCGCTGCCACATAGGCGGGTTTGGAAACTAATCTTCGTCGTACCATCGTTATCATCCTCATCATCATCATCACCGTCATCATCATCATCGTCATCATCATCACCGTCATCATCATCATCATCATCATCATCATCATCATCATCATCATCATCATCTCGCCAGTGGGATGAAGTCTTCCTGGATTTTCTAGAGGGCCTGTGGGTTCCCTCCATCGGCGACCTCTCTTTCTTCTCGACCCCGAAGTCCTGGCTCTTCGTTAAGCACGCGTATGAGTGGATAGGCCTCGCCGTTCCAGATCGAGTGAAGTCGGAGATCAAGCCCCGCCTCCCCCCCTCGGGTCAGAACTCTCCGATGGATGTGATCAAGCGCCGCAAAGTCGATCTTCCTCTCGTGTCCTGGGATACCCCGCCTGAGCCGTCTCCCTCCTCCTCTCCCCTGGCGTTGAAGAGTATTTCGTGTAGGCTTGAGATCTTAGGAGATTCGAGGCTTATTGTTCAGTGGCTTAACGGCTGCTGGAGCATGTACGATAGCTTCTATGTCCCATTCGTCGCCACGGTTCAGACTCGGCTTGAAAAGCTGTGGTCCCGTGGCCTCGCGGCCCCCAGGGAAAAGACTGGTCACTGGTGTAGGCACGTCTTCAGGGAATTCAACAAACGAGCTGACGCTCTGGCTTCCGAGGCCCTGGAGAGTAGGCAGTCTCATGCGTTTTATTCGCCTCCTCCCTTTCCTCTCCAGGTGACCAACTACGTCTCTGCCCAATTCGATGGGGGCTCCAAGTCAGGCCTGGCCTCCAGTGGCTGGCACATAGGAGTCGCCCGCTTCTGTGATCAGTCTGGCCAGCCCATCTTCCACAGCGTTGCCGAGGGCTCGATTTTCTGGGGTGATGGCACTGTCACTCTTGGAGAGCTCCAGGGTCTCGTGGAGCTTGTGGAGGCCCTCTACAGTATGCTCGTACAGCGTGAAATTTTCTTCGTCTCTCTGTCGCGTGTGCGGGAATGCTGGCTCTAGCATCCATCCTGATGCTGTTATAAGCTTTGATGCATCTTCTTATATCTATATGGACTTCTTCGAAGCAGGCCATACCGTGAGGTTAGCAGGGCAGGAAAAACATCATCATCATCATCATCATCATCATCATCATCATCATCATCATCATCATCATCATCGTTATCATCGTTATCATTATCGGCGACGCGAATCCCCAAACCCCGACAATGACGGACGACGACGACGACGCGGACGATGACGACGAGCACGACGACGACGGCGGCGACGACGATGACGGCGGCGACGACGGTGGCGACGACGACGACGACGAGGGCGACGAGGAGGTCTGCGACGGTGGCCGCGGCGACGACGAGGAGGACGTGCTGCCCCGGTCGCGCTGCCCCCGCCCCGCGGCGGACCCCAAGGGGGGCGTGCTACGTCAGCGGGCTGTGCCCGGACGTTGCCCCCGCGGCAGTTGCCGCCGCTGCCATCGTGGTAGTCGTCGTCGTCGTCGTCGTCGTATTCATTCTTCGCCGTCGTCGTTTGCTGCGATCAGTTAAGTTTCATGCGCGAGGCGGCCATCTCACACGCCTGTGGGGGCGGCGGATTATGGTTGACGTCGCTGAATTTGTGGTTTGGCATGATGTGGGGCTGTCAGGGCGCAACTGTCAGGTCAATTCGCGTTGCTGAAGTCCCAGGAATGACGTTCTGGCACGATTTTAGTCGCCAGGGCGCAACTCTGCAACAGGAATGCTGCTATGCGGCGCTGAAGTCCCAGGAATGGTGTTTTGGCACGGTTTAAGATGTTCAAGCGGTTGTCTTCCAATTGGGCACATCTCTCAGTGAACATATTATATCTTTTTGTAGGGACCTCCGAAGAGGGACCTCGGAGGGAGGGTTAATTGCAACATTCGTTGATGAGTCTTGGGTTTGCACTGGTCCTCCTCCTCCTTCCCCCCCGTGCTCCTCCTCCCTCTCATCCCGTGTTTTCTTCCGCCGCTCGACAATTACACATTTTGAATATTATTCGCCTCTTTCCCGTGACTCTGTCCAGAAGATGTCCCGTCCTCCCCGCGTATTTTCTACACAGGATTGGACAGCATTGGTGTTGTTTTTTTGCACTGCGCTCCCGTTGTTATCCTCCCGCTGCAGCGTGGGCCTCATTTTTGAGTCGGCGCTTTGCTCCCATCGTTGGAAATGGCGTTCTCGCCCCAGTGCGGGCCACCTTTCTGGATCCGAGTCCTTCCTCACTGTTGTCGCCCCCCTCCTTTCCCCTCTTCCGCCTTCCCTGCTCCTCCTGCTCCTCGCCCTCCTTCCACTCCAGTTCCCGCTGCTGCTGTTCGTCCTCGTCGTCGTCCTCCTCCGCCTTCCTCCGCCTTCCTCCCCCTCCTTTTTCCTCCTGCTCAGATGTCTCTTTCGGATTGCGCATAACACGCTTTTTTTTGTTTGTTTTTGCTTTTGAGTCCCATGTCCGCTATGACGCGCGCCCGCGGACCGAACAAAAAACAGCGGCATGGCGCGAACGCGCCTGGCCTGCCTCCCTTTCTCTCTCTCTCCCCCGCCCCCTCCCCCTCTCCGGGGAGACCAGAAGGTACCGATACTGCTACTTTCCGGACCTCTCCTGGGGTGTGCGTTTGATTTCGAGGCGAATCCAGCGGTGGCCACGGGGGCCTCCCAGCAGGCCCTAAAAGGCGAAAGCGGGGCGAGGGCAGCGGTATGGGCACCTTGTCCTCCTTTGATTCTTCCTCTCCTGTGTGTGCGTAGCCTCTCTTGTGCCTCTCGTCACCTCTGCCGCTGCCCTTTCGGTTCGCAACGTGTTAACGTTCTCACGGTGCGAGTGCTCCTTCATTGCGAGAAGAGAAGCCATCTGCCTTCAACCCGCATCGCACGATTTTCTAAGGCTAATCTTGCATCCTTGCCCCCTCGGCCCATCCTTGGGGACTTTCGCAGGCCAACCTCGTTCGTGAAGCGTTCACATGGCCCTCCAAGACCCCAGCATCCTTGCGGCGCATCCTTCTTGTGCAGTTTGACTGTATCGTCGGCCACGCGCCGAGGTAGGGGGGAGGGGGTGAGGCCTTTCCGATGCACCCCTGCTTCCAAGACGCTTGCCCCCCTCCCCCTACCCCCTTGTGCACGCCACCAATTTCGCCTCCATCCAACGGATTATCGGTAGGGTTGGCTTTCTCATCCTTCCCTCCCACTCACGTCTCCGCCTGGCCTCGCCGCCGTGCGCGGCGCGCGGTGCTCGCCACCGCCGCCTCCGCCACCGCCGCTGCCGTCGTCTTCGTCGTCTTCGTCGTCGTCTTCGTCGTCTTCGTCTTCGTCGTCTTCGTCGTCGTCGTCTTCGTCTTCGTCGTCGTCGTCGTTGTCCCCCTTCCGTGGAAGCCCTCCGACGCATCCGAGGGCATGCCGCCGGCCGCTCGGGCCCCGACCGCGCGCCAGGATAACGCCAGCGTGTGCTCCACTGCCGTGCCGCCCCGCCAGCAGAGCTGCAGCTCCTACCAGGCCTCCTGGGGCGCAGCCGATGGGCGGGCACGGCGGCGGCGACGACGACAGCCCGCCTTCAAACCGAGAGGAGGAGAAGGAGGAGGAGGAGGAGGAGGGAGAGGAAGAGGAGGAGGAAGAGGAGGCGGAGGCGGAGGAGGAGGAGGAGGGTTTGGACGAGGATTTGGATGATGATGATGATGATGATGAGGAGGAGGAGGAGGAGAAGGAGGAGAAGGATTTGGACGAGGATTTGGATTATGATGAGGAGGAGGAGGAGGAGGACGAGGATGAGTTGGAGGAGGAGGAGGAGGACCAAGTCGACGGGGAGGGAGGGGGAGGGTCATGGGGGGGTGACAAGCTATGTGCGCTTGCGTCATATCTGACGTCCTAACCCTCTCTCCCATCCCTCAGCATGGCGTAGATCTCCTCTCTGTTCGTAGAGTCGGATGTCGTAGTAGCATTATGTGGCATAGCATGGTGTTGAAGGTCAACGCGTAGCCTGACATAACATGGCGTGGCGAAGCCCCAAAGTGGGGGGGCTTCGCAGTCCAACAAACCAACGAATCGACACATCATGTGTAATCATTTGCGATGTTTTTTTTCGGGGGGGCCATTTGTTAGATTTTGGGGCCTATTTGGAAGGACCGAAGACCATGCCGTGGCATGGCGCTGGAAATAATGACGTCAGTGCTGCAGCGGGAGCACGATTCGGAACAAGCGGAAGCGCGGAAATGAGGCCAGTGCTGCAGCGGGAGCACGATTCGGAGGACGCGTAGCCTGACATAGCATGGCGTGGCGACGCCTCAAAGTGGGAGGGGCTTCTGCGGTCAAAAAAACCAATGAATCGACACATAATGTGTAATCACTTCCGATGTTTTTTTGGGGGGGGGGGGCATTTTCTAGATTTTGGGGCCTATTTGGAAGGACCGAAGACCATGCCGTGGCATGGCGCTAGAAATATTGACGCCAGCGCTGCAGCGGGAGCACGATTCGGAACGAGCGATAGCGCGGAAATGAAACCAGCGCTGCAGCGGGAGCACGATTCGGAACGAGCGGTAGCCCGAAAATGAGGCCAGCGCTTCAGCGAGAGCAGCACTTTGACAGAAAACCAAGCGGAAACCAGTTTCCCGGGAACCGTGTATGTGGGGGGCCGGCCATATCCCGGACGCCACCAGGGGAGAGAGGAGAGTAGTATTCATATTGTGTGAATGTGGAGGGGGGAGTGGGAGGGATGAAGGGGGAGATGTGAGAGAGGACGAGCTGGGTGCACTCGCGCCACATCTGATATCCTACCCCTGCCACCTATGTCTTCCCACTGCGTTGAATGCTTTCATACCCGCCGACCGTGGCCCCGCCAAGATCTTGGCGCCCGAGTGGCGCTTGCAGGATCTGTCCCACCATTTGCCGCACCATCGGCATGGGGCCTGCTGTGCATCGGAGAGGGGGGCGGATGCGGGAGGGAGGGAGGGAGGCAGACAGGCAGGGAGGGAGGGAGGGAGGAGGAGGGAGGAGGAGGAGGGAGGAGGAGGAGGGAGGGAGGGAGGGAGGGAGGGAGGGAGGAGGAGGAGGGAGGGAGGGAGGGAGGGAGGGAGGGAGCAGGAGGGGACAGGAGGAGGACGGCGGCGACGAGGAGAAGACCCGACCCAGAACCGTGGCCCGCACTCGGGGCTCAAAGGGGCGGGGGTCCATGCACAGTGGGGGCCAGCCAGGGCGCGGAAATCCTGCAGGAGCCTGCGGGGCCGGGGTCGCAGTGCCCCGGCTTTGGGTGCAGGATCCTGCAGGGGGTTAAGTCGGGCCCGTCTCCCTACAGGGGGATTTTCGACGAAAAATTAGCCTGGCGAAGGACCCAACCATATGCAGTTGAGAGTACCGCAATTGTGAATATTTTCTTCGGTGGCGCTCCCTATGGGGCCACGAGCCGTATGAGGGGTGTGCCGAAATGGGTGTGCGGGACGCATGCGGACGGCAGCCATGGGGCCTTCGGTGGAGCTCCCTATGGGGCCACGAAACGTGTGAGGGGTGTGCCGAAATGGGTGTAGGGGACGCATGCGGGCGGCAGCCCTCGGGCCTTCGGTGGAGCTCCCTATGGGGCCACGAAACGTGTGAGGGGTGTGCCGGAATGGGTGTGCGGGACGCATGCGGACGACAGCCATGGGGCCTTCGGTGGAGCTCCCTATGGGGCCACGAAACGTGTGAGGGGTGTGCCGAAATGGGTGTGCGGGACGCATGCGGACGGCAGCACTGGGGCCCTCGGTGGAGCCCCTATGGGGCCACGAACCGTGTGAGGGTGTGCCGATGGGTGTGCGGACGCTAATGCGACGGCATCACGGCCGTTCGGTGGAGCTCCCTATGGGGCCACGCAAAGTGTGAGGGGGTGTGCCGAAAATGGGTGGTGCGGGACGCAATGCGGACGGTAGATGGTGCGAACGAAACGTGTGAGGGGTGTGCCGAAATGGGTGTGCGGACGCATGCGGACGGCAGCACTGGGGCCTTCGGTGGAGCTCCCTGTGGGGCCACGAAACGTGTGAGGGGTGTGCCGAAATGGGTGTGCGGGACGCATGCGGACGGCAGCCCTGGGGCCTTCGGTGGAGCTCCCTATGGGGCCACGAAACGTGTGAGGGGTGTGCCGAAATGGGTGTGCGGGACGCATGCGGACGGCAGCAATGGGGCCTTCGGTGGAGCTCCCTGTGGGGCCACGAAACGTGTGAGGGGTGTGCCGAAATGGGTGTGCGGGACGCATGCGGACGGCAGCCATGGGGCCTTCGGTGGAGCTCCCTGTGGGGCCACGAAACGTGTGAGGGTTGTGCCGAAATGGGTGTGCGGGACGCATGCGGACGGCAGCCATGGGGCCTTCGGTGGAGCTCCCTATGGGGCCACGAAACGTGTGAGGGGTGTGCCGAAAGGGGTGTGCGGGACGCATGCGGACGGCAGCCTGGGGCCTTCGGTGGAGCTCCCTATGGGGCCACGAAACGTGTGAGGGGTGTGCCGAAATGGGTGTGGGGACGCATGCGGCGGCAGCCTGGGGCCTTCGGTGGAGCCCTCCCTCTATGGGGCCACGAAACGTGTGAGGGGTGTGCCGAATGGGTGTGCTGGGGACGCATGCGGACGGCAGCACTGGGGCCTTCGGTGGAGCTCCCTGTGGGGCCACGAAACGTGTGAGGGGTGTGCCGAAATGGGTGTGCGGGACGCATGCGGACGGCAGCCATGGGGCCTTCGGTGGAGCTCCCTATGGGGCCACGAAACGTGTGAGGGGTGTGCCGAAATGTGTGTGCGGGACGCATGCGGACGGCAGCACTGGGGCCTTCGGTGGAGCTCCCTGTGGGGCCACGAAACGTGTGAGGGGTGTGCCGAAATGGGTGTGCGGGACGCATGCGGACGGCAGCCATGGGGCCTTCGGTGGAGCTCCCTATGGGGCCACGAAACGTGTGAGGGGTGTGCCGAAATGGGTGTGCGGGACGCATGCGGACGGCAGCACTGGGGCCTTCGGTGGAGCTCCCTATGGGGCCACGAAACGTGTGAGGGGTGTGCCGAAATGGGTGTGCGGGACGCATGCGGACGGCAGCATGGGGCCTTCGGTGGAGCTCCCTATGGGGCCACGAAACGTGTGAGGGGTGTGCCGAAATGGGTGTGCGGGACGCATGCGGACGGCAGCCATGGGGCCTTCGGTGGAGCTCCCTATGGGGCCACGAAACGTGTGAGGGGTGTGCCGAAGTGGGTGATGACGATGACGATGACGACGATGACAATGACGATGATGATGATGATGATGATGATGATGATGATGATGATGATGATGATGATGATGATGATGATGAGATGATGATGATGATGATGATGATGATGATGATGATGATGATGATGATGATGATGATGATGATGATGATGATGATGATGATGATGATGATGATGATGATGATGATGATGATGATGATGATGATGATGATGATGATGATGATGATGATGATGATGATGATGATGATGATGATGATGATGATGATGATGATGATGATGATGATGATGATGATGATGATGATGATGATGATGATGATGATGGGAGGAGGGAGGAGGGGGAGGAGAGAGGAGGAGGAGGAGGTGGGACGCGGGGCGCTGTCTCTTCAAAACGAGGACCCAACACCACATGATGGTTGGGAATAAAACATCCCCCCAACAATGCCCCAAAAAGGTCAACAAATATTGAAAAAATAGTCCCCAGACTATTTTTGGATTATTTTTGGATTATTTTCGAAGTATTCTGTATGTTTCGTCGAAAATCCCCTTGTAGGGGAACCCGCCCGACTTAATGCAAGGGCAGACTGACCCGGGTCTCGATCGGCCCAGGTCAGCCGACCTGCTTGGCATGGGGACGGAGCGCGCGTTTATTTTGCGAGGGCGCGAGGTCGCTGGCTCAGTGTCTTGGAGCCTTGGTGGTGTTAAGGCTTCGGTGCGACATCGCAAAACCTAGCAACCGCGAACATCAATATGATTATTGCCCGTCCAGGCCTTCCTGGGGGTCCTTTTCGGGCTCTTTTGGGCCGTCTTGGGGCCCTTTTGGGCCGCCTCCTGGGCCGTTTTAGGCGCTGGAAAGACCAAAGAAGCGAATCTGCTTAAAATGTACGTTTTCCCGAGGGGATGGGACTATTTTTGTCTCTTGGGGGTCCGTTTTGGGGGCCTCTTGGGGCGACTTGGGGGCCTCTTGAGCTGTCTTGAAACCATATGGGGCCCTCTTGTATTGTACCTCTCCGACGCCGTCTTGGAGGTATCTTGGGCGCTCTTGGGGCTGTCTTGGGCCGTCTAGGGGGCCTCTTAGGCGCTCTTGGGCTGACTTGGGCCGTCTTGGGCTCCTCTGGGGCCGTCTTGAGGCCCTCTGGGACTGTTTTCGGGTTCTTTTGGGGGCCTCTTGGGCCGTCTTGGACGTGCTCGTCCCGAAAAATCAAGAACCCCAACAACCTGCAAAAACCATAACAAAATCAATGTTTTTGACCCCGTGTCGCGTCACTCGGACAACTACGAGGAAACGG